CTCCCAGTCTTCCCTGGATAAAGCAGAAGAAAGGATCAGTCAACTTAAAGGCAAAGCAGTGGAACTCACCCAATTAGAGCAGCAAAAGAAAAAACAATGAAAAAAAAAGTGAATATAGCTTAAGGGACTTATAAGACAATATCCAACAACCTAAGAGTCGATCACAGCCTCCCAGAAGCAGAAGAGAAAGGGACAAAAGTATTATTAGAAGAAACAATGGCTGAAAACTTCCCTAACCTGGGGAAGGAAACAGACATCCAGATCCAGGAAACCCAGAGAGTTCCAAATAAGAGGAACCCAAAGAGACCCACACCAAGACATATTATAATTAAAATGTGGGTTAGAAGAATTACTATTTATTATTTTATATTTATTTATTTTGTAGAGAGAGGGGAAGGTAGGGAGAAAAAGAGGGAGAGAATCATCGATGTGGGAGAGACACATCAATTGGTTGCCTCTTATACATGTACTAACTGGGGACCAAACCAGTAACCTATGCATGTGCCCTGACTGGGAATTGAATAAGTGACCTTTTGCTTTGCAGGATGACACCCAACCAACTGAGATACACCAGTCAGGGTAGGAGAATTAATATTTTTAAAATGTCTCTACTACCCAAAACAATACATATTTAATGCAATCTCTATCAAAATTTCATTGACATTTTTCACAGAACCAGAACAAACAACCCTAAAATTTGTATGGAATCATAAAATACCCCAAATAGCCAAAAGAATCTTGAGAAAGAATACTGGTGGCATTACACTCTCTGATTTCAAACTATATTACAAAGCTATATTATTTTAAAAAGTATGGTATTGGTATAGAAACAGACACACAGATCAATGAAACAGAATAGAGAACCTAGAAATAAACCCACACCTATAAGATCAATTAATTCACATTGAAGGAGCCAAGAATATACAATGGGGAAAGGACAGTTTCTTCAAATGAATGGTGTTAAAAAAAAAATTGGGCAGCCACATGCAAAAGAATGAAACTGGACTACTATCTTACACCACAAGTGAAAGTTAACTGAAAATGGATTAAAGACTTGGACATAAGACCTGAAACCATAAAACTCCTACAAGAAAATGTAGGCAGTAATTTCCTTAACGTAGGCCTTAGCAATGGTTTTTTAAAAATCTGATACCAAAAGCAAAAGCAATGAATGCAAAAATAAATAAGTGGGACTACAGAAACCGAAAAAGCTTCTGCACAGTGAAGGAAACTATCCATAAAATGAAAAACCAACCTACTGAATGGGAGAAAATAATTGCAAATCATATACCTGACAAGGGGCTAATATCCAAAATACATATATAAAAAGCTCATACAACTCAATAGCAAAAAACAAACAATCTGATTTAAAAATGGGCAGAAGATTGGAATAATCATTTTTCCAAAGAAAACATATAGATGGCCAGCAGGTATGTGAAAAGATGCTCTATATCATTCATCATCAGGGAAATGCTAATCAAAACCACACTGAGATATCACCTCACACCTGTTAAAATGGCTATCATCAAAAAGACAAGAAATAACAAGTGTTGGTAAGGGTGCACACTGTTGGTGGGAATGTAAGTTGATGCAGCCACTATGGAAAATAGTATGGAGATTTCTTAAAAATAGAACTACCATATAACCCATCAATTCCACTTCTGGGTATGTAGCTGAAGAAAACAAAAATAACTGGAAAAGATATCTGCACCTCTATGTTTATTGCGGCATTATTTACAATAGCCAAGACATAGAAACAACCTAAGTGTCCATCAAAGGATGAATGGGTAATAAAAAATTGTGGCACAATATATTTTATATTTATTATACATGATAGAATATTATTCAGCCGTGAAAAAGAATAAAATCTTGTCACTTGTGACAACATGTATGGACATGGAGAGTATTACACTAAGGGAAATAAGTAAGATAGAGAAATACAAATACCATATAACCTCTCCTATATGTGGAATCTATAAATAAATAAATACATAAATAAATAAATCCAAGATCTTAGATACAGAGAATATATTGGTGGCTGCCAGAGGTAGAGGATGGGGAGAAATGGGGTGAACTGGTTTTTTTTTTCTTTTAGTTTAAATAATAAATTGAAAAACACGAAACAAAGCAAAAAAAAATTTGGCAGCATATTCCTAGTGGAAAGGAGAGTTTTCAGGTCGACAATGAATGGGAAATGCATGGTTGATGAGGCTAAAAGGTTTCTTTGTTGGATGACTCCTCAGAGCCTTCATGGCCAATATGTATTGCAAATCTCTGACAGGGGAACAAATTATTCAGCATTTCTCAAATTCACTTGACCCCAAAACTCATGTTTTACAAAGCTCGTCTCTCTATTTATGGAAGTCACAGAAACACCGTGGATGAAAGATGCAATGGATGATACAGATGAAGTACACAATGTAATTCCTGTCTTTCCTTCAAGGGGAAGCAAAGCTTATAAAATAAATGTGCACAAAACAATGATTGGCATGTTACATAGCACAGTAGGATTTTAGGTGACATAAGCAGTCAGGGAAGGGAAGATCAATGTGGTTTGAGATGCCTGGAGCTGAGATGGTAGGAAGGGTATAACTCAGGCTGGGCCTTGAAAAAACAGGGCACAGGAAAGGGGTGGGGGTGGGAAACAAAAGCAGAGGAATGAGCGAGCAAGGAAACGGGTGGGCAGCTTTGCCTAAATCTGACATTTCATTTGTTCAGATAGACCAACCGAAGGGGTTTTACTGGACAACCCATATACGCTAGAAATTATAATCTATGTTTTCATTGTCTTCTTTTTAAGCTCAGATGGTTACTAGTAATTCATTTTGGACTAGCTTTTCTTAGAAGACTATAAAGTCAATAACAAACATTTCAAATGCGTATCAAGAGAGGCTTTGGTGGACCTCAGGGAGCCTGAAGGTGCTCTGTTCTTCCACATTTCTACAACTCCTCACCCGCATCTCCCAAACCCCAGAAGTTCTGAAAGCTTAAAGTCCTTTCTCCGAACTCATTCTGTGGCAATACCTTTCCTAAACTGATAAGGGGGCTACTTATAGTCTTTATCCAGCCCATTTTGTGTGACTATCCATTCATTTTGGGGTGCTACCCTAGACCTATTGGAGTGTTCTACAAATTGCAGTATACATGTCATGTCATCTCTAATAAGAGACTGTGGACCTCTAATTCTTACTTATTCCCTAGATTTATGCTGTGTGTGAAAAAAAAACATTTGCTATGTATCAGAGCCTATGGGTGACTCTGATTTAAAGAAGGAAAAATGGGTGCTCTGTTAAAATTTGCTTATTTTCTCCATTCTCCATTCAATAAATAGTTATCAAGGGCCCTTTATGTATTGGCTCCTTTTCTAGTCTCCAGGGATACAGCAGAGAGGGAAACAGGTAAAGCCTCTGCCTCCCTGCAATTGTTTTTAGTAGGAGTAACAAGAAACAAAGATAAGCTAATGTCAGGAGTTGGCCCATGCTATGGAGGAAAATTCAGAGTTAAGGAGTAAAAGGTGCTGGAGCACTGCTATTTGTAAAAGGAGGGTCTGGGAAGGTGTCTCCGAGAAGGTGACATCTGAGCAAGGAGTTGCAGGAAGAGAGTGAGCTCTGGGGATATCAGGAAGAAGAGTGTCCCAGGCAGAAGGAACGGCATAGGCGATGGCTCTGAGGCAGGGCTGTGCATGACTGAGGCAGTCAGTGCTCTATAGGGAGGATCCCATCTAATCCCTGTAACCCTTACTAAGTCCACTTCACAGACGAGGAAACTGATCTCTGAGAGGGGAACACAAGACCACACAGCTGTGAGTGACAAAGCTGGGACTTGCTTCCGAATCTGGCGCCACAGTTAGCTTCCCCTCCAAAGTCCCTAACAACAGGCCAGGCCTCTGGGAGGCAACAAAAGACTGAAGCCTCCCCAAGCCTAGAGGTCCTGGCTGGGACTCGCCTCCTCAAAGGCCCAGACACGTGGCTTCGGAGTGACCTCGGCTCTCCTGGCGGTTGACGGCTGCTCAGGCCTTCGGAGCGGGCCAGGTCCAGTAAGGTGGCTTGAGGAGCTAGGACGGGGCCACTCCTCTGCGTATCCTTCCAGATGGCTGGCCTCTGCTAACCCTCTCAAAGCCCTAGGAGCCTGCATTTTCAAGGCCTCATCAACGGGAAGCGAACAGTGAGGCTCACAGGGGCAAAAGGACTTACCTGAGGCCGCACTGGTGGCCATCGAGTCTTCCAAGGAACCCATTATCTTCAGACCAGATTTCTCTTTGGACTTGGCCAAGGACCCAAAAAGAGAGTGTTTCTTTAACTCTTGTGCTCTGGGCACTTCACTTGATTCACCTTAACCTGGGCCCTGTAAAGGAAAGAAACAGAATGAAAGCCACCCCTACTCACCATCTGTTCGCCCACACCCACCGCGCTGGGCTCCAGGGGACCAAGAGAGCACCCCACTTGGGCTGCGCTGTCCCACTGAGAAAGAAGAGCAGAGGAAAAGGGCGGCGGGGGCGGGGGGAGCGGTGAATGGGGGGGCGCTTGTCAAAGGCTTTCTTTCAGCCTTCAGGTGGCGCCCTAGAGCCACGGAGCCTCTCGAGTCTGCGAAGACAGTCAGGACCTAAAGACCTGGGACCTACCTGAGGGCCCTGTGTGTTGGGCGAGACGAGAGAGGGTTGGGGCGGGACGGAGACGTCAGAGCTTGGCGCAGTCGGGGGTCTCCAGCGGTGGAGACGAGCAAGCAGCGGGGGAGGGGTCGTCTTCAGCACACACCCCCACACCTCGCCCTCGCGCCCGGGCAACTTGTGCTCGAAGCTTCAGTTCCCTTAGCCTGCACATAAGCCCTAACGGGAGGGGGAGAAGGACGGAGCTGTGTCCCCCCCACCCTTACCCCAGTCTGTTATCCGCCTCCCAGTCCCTCCCCACGCTAACTCTCCGGGCGCCCTCGCCGGCTGCGGGCGGAGCTCGATCCTCTGCGCTCGGCGATCCCCGGCTCCCGCCCCTTCCCTTGTCCCTCCTCCCCGGAGCCCCCGGCGGCCGCGGCCGACGCCGTGCAGCCCCGCGCGGCACGAGCAGGTACGTGCGCCTCGGCGGCGGCTCCGCGCGGAGCCGGGAAGAGGGCGGGAGCTGGGGGGGGGAGAGGCGGTGGCAGCCGGGCCCGCGCCCTCCCGAGCTGCGCCGCAGCGGAGACACCGGCGGGCGGGCGCCGGCTGCGGGGCGGCGGGTGGGAGCCGGCGAGGACGCGCCCTCGCCCCCGCCCGCCGGCCTCCCGGCGAGGAGCTGCCCGCGTGGGGACGCCGGGAGGGAGGCCCGGCACAGGTACACACGAGAGACAACTGCGGGGGTGGCGGGAGGCGGAGGCCCGAGGCGGGGAGGGGCTAGGATGGAGAGCTAGCCTGACCTCGCGGCCCGGCCGAAGGACACGCGGCGAGGGAACCCGGGCGCATGCCGGTCCTCGCGGAGCCTGGCCTCTCAGAGCCGCCTGACCACCCTGCTACCAGCGTCGCCCGGCCCGGTGCAGCCTGGCCCGGCCCGGTCGCGGTTGTGGTCAAGGGCAGAACCAGGGGGTGTGAGCTGCGGGCAGGCTGGCGCGCGGGTGCAGCGGGCAGTCGGGTAGTTGGCGCTTCCTGTGCGGAACTTTGGGTATAACAGCGTGGACCTGCGTGTGCGTGTGTGCGCGTCCCAAGGCTTTGTGTACAACTCGTGCGTGTTATCTGCCGGTGGGGTTTTGTGAAGCTTCACCCACGCCTGCTGTGCGTCTATCTTCCCGCGTGTTAATGCGCGTGGGTGAGTGAGGTGCTGGGACCGGGGGCGGGGCGGGGGGCAGTCGTGGTTAGTCTGGCTTAGATCTTCGCAGTCCTGAGGGTAGTTTACTGTGTGTTGTGTAAACCCAGCTCTATCCCTTCTGGGTGTGGATACCAGTGTAGCCCGCTAATCTGAGGGTCACACCGCGTGGCTTCCTATGTCTGTGAGTGCTGCATGTGGAAAACAGCCCCTGGGTGTGAGAATGTAGAACTAGGGTGTGCCTTTCAGGTCCTGTCGAACTGCAGGTGAAATTGGAGTGTCACAGGTACACGTGTGAGCAGTGGACTCCAGCATCTTTGTCACTGTGTTTCACCTTGTGTTTTGGGTAATTGACTGGGCATGGCTTGTGTAACTGTGGGTATCTCTGAACCTGTGTGTGAGACATGGTAACCCTGGATGAGAGGGACTCTCCTTTTTCTCTGCCCTCTTCCTTACTCTGGCGTCCTAAGGAAAAAGTTTTGGGTTCCTGGTGGTGAAAGAGAGTCCCTCTCTTTCAGAATTTGGGTGCCCTAGTGCCCTTCGGAATACCGAGGTTCAGTGCACGAACTGGGAAGGTGGTTCCTGGGACACTCCAGGAGCCGAGTCCTCCGGACGGTGCTGAAAACCTGGCGGGGGTGGGGGAGTAGGGAGTGGGCGCATCTGGACGCCCACTGGGCAGGAGCTGTCACTGCCAGTCCCTATTCGTGGCTGGGCACTCAGGAGAATGCTTTTGGTGCCAAGAGTAGAAAAGTCAAACAACACACCTCTCTTTTTGGTTTACTGGGAGTGGGAGCAGTCTTGCGCAGGGCCTGGCCTTGAGTCAGCCTCCCCCGCCCGTTGTGTGGGAGTGATTGGCTGCGCAGGCAAGTTGCCAAGCCATTGCTGGGGGCTGCCTGTGTTCTAAGCCCCGGGCACGGGGCTGGGGACCCAGATGGAATTCACACATATCCCTGCCCTCAAGCTGCTCATAGTGGCTGCTAAACAGTGGGATAAAGTAGAGTCTTGGGCGAGGGCTGGGAGAGCCGGGCAGGGAGGGTGGAGTGATGCCACTGGTGCAGGCGTGTGTGGGTTTGCAGGCTTATAGGTAACAACAGTCCTTAGGGAGGCTGCGTGCACCTTCGTGTGCCCATATGGACGCCATGGGATCTTGGCCCCTTCTGTCGAATGGAGATCGGAATTCCTGTTCTCTGGGCTGGCGAGGGCATGAGATACTCCCAAGGAAGTGTCTGCTGTAGGGCGCAACAGGGAGTGTAGGTGCTCAGTAAACATATGTTAAATTGGAACTCGGGAAAGAAGGATGTGGTGATAGAAAAGGGTTGTAAGTGGAAACAGGCTTTGTACTCAGATGAAAGACCCAGTGTGTGCTCAGAGGAGGTGTCCAGTGCAAGTCCACGTTGGGAAAAAGATCAGAAAAATCGAAATACGTGCCTTCCTGCACTGAGGCTCTTTGAATTTCATTCATTCATTCCACTCATTTTTCACTTCATTAATTTACTCATATTCTCTCTCTCTCTCTGTCTCTCACACACACACACACACACACACACACACACACACACACAGTCTGCACGGAACCACAATGCACTAGAAAATAAACTCAGGTATGAGAATGTAAAGAAATATCTAGAATCGTGTGTGTGTGTGTGTGTGTGTAGACACACCAGAGCGTGTGAGCCACTCCGCAGCTGGGGAGTCTCTGTACAGAGTGGTGACTTGAATCTGTGTGCCTGGGGCCCTGGGTGTGTGTATTCCCAGGACATCGGTGTGTATGGGGAACAGAGGAGTTCTGCTGTGGGACTAGGAATTTTGCCTGCCAGGTAGGGAAGGGGGCTGTGGGGGGGCCTGTGGGGGACAGCACTGGATCTGCCCACGGCGGGACTCCATCGTCAAGGCGAGCTGAGTGCTGTTGTGAGGGAGTGGGGGCCTGGGTGGCGAGAGTCCTCCATTTTGTAAGAGAAGCCAGGAATATAAAGCTTAAAATGTAAAACATTTGCCATATATATATGATTACATATACATATATACATATATATGATTTTATATATACACACACATATATATAATCACACACACATATATATCACCAAAAACAAACGAAAAGAGCAGAAACAAACAAAATTCGTGTGAGCTCAGGGTGGCCCATGGGCTATAAATTGGTATCCTCTGGCAGGAGTGCACATGCGCTGCCTGCCTGCCTGCCTGCGCCGATGTGCGCTCAGGTGCTGGGCGGGCTACCTCCTCTTTGAGCGGAGTGCCCCTCTTCCCCCTCCCCTCCCATCTCCCCTTCTGTAGCCCTCATCCAGGTCCACCTTCCCTCCCCGCCCCACCCACCCCGTCTTCTACTTACATGAAGGCATTTGACTTGGACCTCAGTCTGGCTCTCAAATGCACTCCTTCCTCTCAGTCTCCACCCATGTCGCCCCGACCACATCAGATTCCTCCCTGGACGCCTGGCCTGCACAGAGCAGCCAGACAGAGCTTTCTGAGACTAGGCAAATGCCCACACTCCCGGCCCCAATACTCGCCTCCCGGGCCCCTTGGCCTGGCTTTCAAGTCCTTTGAGAGTTGGTCCTAGGTGACCTGAGGTACCCTGTCCCCCTGTCCAGAATGCCCGCATCCGCTCCTACTGCTGGGGTCCCACTCATCCTCTCAGGTCTGGTTCAGATGCCACCAACTTCCAGAATCTTCCCTGACCTTCTCCTCTTTGTTCCCACACCACCTCCATCATCTCGGCCCCTCCCCCGCTCCCAGTCATCCTTACGTCATCCCAACAGTGTGCTTTAATTGAACTGGCTAGGGCCTTACATGCAGTATTTTATGAAATCCTCACATCATCCTGATGAGGAAGGCATTTTGCCTATTCCCAGTGAACAGATAAGAAAATGGAGCGTGGAGAGGTCATGTCACTTGCCCAAGCTCAAGTGGTGAGGCTGGGATTTGAACCTGACAGCTACTGTGTTTAAGTTCCCTCCATCAGAATAGTAAGTCATCGCCAATACTGAACCCTTACTGTTATGAGTGCTTTCTATGGTTTATCTCAATCTCTACATCAGCCCATTATGTAGGGAGGAGTAGTAGTAATGCCATTTAATAGATGGGGAAAGTGAGGCCCAGAGAGGATATGTGAATTGCCCCAAGCCACATGCCAGCCAGTGGTGGGGCAGGATCCTAGCGTGGATTGGATCACTGCAGCCTTTGTCTTATCCCCCACCTGCTGCTCTGCCTGGCAGGGTCCTGCAGGTGGGAACAGTGCCTAACTCATTTGCACATCACCTGGGGCCCAGTGTGCTGTCCAATACCAGCAGGATCTCGGGAGAGGTTCACTGAATTTGACTGACTTTCTGTTTTCTCTTCCAGCTGCCAAGGGGCAAGGGATGAACTGGGGCCCTCCTTCCCAATGGCATCTCCCCCTGGGCTCGAACTGAAGACACTGAGCAACGGGCCGCACACCCCAAGGAGACCAGCTCCTCTGGGCCTTGTGGCCCCATCCAGGGAGGGTGTGGAGAATGCCTGCTTCTCCTCAGAGGAGTATGAGACCCATTTCCAGAACCCTGGGGACATCAGACTGGGCAGCTCCCCCAGCCCCCCTGGGGGTGTCCCCCAAAGGTCCCGATCCCAGCGGGACGATCTGTCCCTGCACTCAGAAGAGGGGCCAGGCCTGGAGCCCGTGAGCCGCCCGGTGGATTATGGCTTTGTTTCTGCCCTGGTTTTCCTGGTGAGTGGGATCCTCCTGGTGGTGACAGCCTACGCCATTCCCCGGGAGGCCCGCATCAACCCCGACTCAGTGACAGCGCGGGAGATGGAACGACTAGAGATGTACTACGCCCGCCTGGGATCCCACCTGGACAAGTGCATCATCGCAGGCCTGGGGCTGCTCACAGTGGGCGGCATGCTCTTGTCGGTGCTGTTGATGATCTCCCTGTGCAAGGGCGAGCTCTACCGCCGGCCCACCTTCGTCCCCGGCAGGGGCTCCAGGAAGACCTATGGCTCCATTAACCTGCGCATGAGACAGCTCAATGGGGACGGGGGCCAGGGCCTGGTGGAGAATGAAGTTGTCCAGGTCTCAGAGACTGGCCATACCCTGCAGGTGTCTTAAGTAAGAGCCCGCCTGATCTGGCTGCTTCAGCTCCAGGGCCGCAAGCCTCCCCCAGGGCCCTGGGTTATAGACTGAGCTCCACAGAGGGCCCTGGGGAAAGAGTCTTGGGTGCTGGAAGGGGCGTCGGGGGCCTGGCTCAGGCTCCACTGTGGAGGGCAGCCCCACCCCCGATCTGTTTTGTAGCTTGAGGTTTTGCATAAGGTTTTGTTTGGGGGCGGGGGGGTGGCTTCTGCTGCTAAAAATACAGAAGTTTGGAACCTGCTGCCCTTGGAGGATGAGGTTTCTTGGCATTTCTGACAACTGAGAACAATTTGAAAGGCCGCCCATCCTCTCCTTCATGCCTTGGGGAATCCGGGATCTCTGTAGTCCTCATCAGCAAAGGGTGTGAGGGGCCTTCAGAGGGACACCTTTCAGCCCTGACCAAGGCGGGAGGTAGCTTCACAATGAGGGGAGAAGCCAGCGCTGGGACAACCCCCCCTCTCCAGGCCAGTCCCCTGACTGTACAAGAGGGTCGGACTGGACGATCCCTCGGGCCTCTCCAGGTCTGCCCTAGGACTGGGTGCCCAGGATCTGCCTCTGGCCAGTCCTTCAAGGGGACAAGGGTGTTGAGCGGGAGCTGAGCATTCTCCGTGCCATCATCTGGCCCGGCCTAGGTGGCCACCGCTGTCAGTCGGCCAGCAGCCCGGGCTCCTGCTGGGGTTCCCTAAGCCTCCTGGTGATTCTGGGTTAAATCCAAAACTCACTATAGTCTGGTTGTGGTCTTGGGGTTAAATTTCCTGCAGCGACTAAACCTTAGCACACATTTCACAAAGTCAAGTGCACAGTTCTCACCAACTCCCTAAACAAGAGGGGCCTTTTATACAAGAAAGGGTGGAGGGCTTTGTTGTGTTTCTATGGACACAATGTGGGCCTGCATCACCTCCCCCTCCTCCATGGTGTGTCTCCTGTGCCTGACTTTATTCTGACAGCAAAAAAAGAATTTTTTTTTTTTTTTTTTTAGTTTTGAATTTGTAATCTCCCCCTCTCCCCTCTTCTGAGCAGCGAAGTGCAGTTCCAAAATATTTGGGGAGAAATCAGCCATATTCGGGTGGCCAGGGAAGTCCAGCCGCACTGATCACGGTTTGCTCTGTTTCTGTTGTGGAGTGTTTCCAGGCTGCATCCAGACTCTTTGTAAACTACTGACAAGGAAAGGAAGTGGGTTCTAGGTGCAGGGAGATACAGGTGTTTGAGGATGGGAGGAGACATTGTCTACTCTGAATGGCTCTAGAAGGCTTTGAGAGTATGTGCCTTCTAGGCCCTAAAGGGGTCATTTCAGTGAACCCCCTGACTCCTTGCAGGTCCCACTTACTCTGTCTCAATTGGCCACATGGGCCATGGACCCGGTCTGTCTCTTGGGGTTGGGAGGGCCGGGGTGGGCACGGGGTCCGTAGGCCAGAACAGCCCTGATTCAGCTGTAACCTGAGCCTTCAGTCTGGTGAGTGGAACATCTGGGCAGTGTAACACCACAGCTTCTATGACAGATCAAATATCTGCTCCTGCTGGCAGGTTTTGCCAGAAGCAGAGGGCTGGGGGAGGGCTGCAGGGGATAAGAGCTGTTGGAGTAGGCCCACCAGGTGTTGTTTTTGGTGTTAAAAGGGATGTGGTTTGAAAAGAGCAAAGCTTCAAGATGGTGAAGAGTGACAAGTGAGGGCTTCCACTGCGGTGTCCGGTGTCCGTTTCTCCCGGCTCCAGGCAAGGAGTGGATGCAGAAAGTGGCAGGAGCTGTTCTAGGTAAACTGCAGTGGAATGGAACATCCCAAATGAGCTGAGGCCCTTCGAATTCATAATGATAATAAAAATACCAATCCAAACCGTCTAGATTACTGTGATGGTGGAGGACTCATTTGGAAACTGAACTTGTTGAGCGGATGCTTCTGGGACCATCGATTCCTATAGTTTGAATGCAATGGATTGTATTTAAGGGCTAAATCAGAAGATCAAGTCCCAGGAATCTCAGGTTTTCTCTAAGTCAGAGAAGCCTACTTTGCATCCTAATGCAGAATCTCCTTTAGAAAATGTGTATAATGGATCGAGGCAGTCATTACCTTGTCAGTGAATTAAGAAAACGAGAGTTGCTGAAAGCATTTTCCCAAGATTGCAGCTGAAATCTCCCAGTCAATGGATGAGAAATGTGGTTAGGAAGGAGTTAGGGAGGAGAGTGGCATAGGGTGCTGAGAACTTTCTTTGCATGTTTTTATGGGGGTAGGTGTGAAGTGGTCCCATAGGACCCTGTGGTCACTGGAATGTGCCTCACCTCCAAGAGCTGGCTTTTCCACCAGACATGCTATTAAGAACCCGCAATTTTCCTTTTCCTGGTATATTAGAACAAATAGCAATTTGGGAGTCGAGAGAACTTGGGTTTGAATCCAGGCCTGCTGTTTACTGGCTGTGTGACATCAGGCAAGTTACTCTGCCTCTCTGGGTATATCATTTTCTTTGTGGAGTGAGAGGAATGGAAGCCCGGGCTCAGATCAGCAGTCAGAGGTAAGATAGAGACCGGCATGGAATGAGGCCCAGTCAGCTGGAAGGAAGGCTCGCCTTCCCCACCTCAGCTGGACATCACTGGGTGAGGCCTAAAGCCTCAGGGTCGACTCTCCGCCTCTCTTCTCTCACACCTGTCATCCTACCCACCTTGGTTCTGCCTTGAAATCTGACCGCTGCCTACCCTCTGCCCCCCAGTTCAGCCTCCACTCTGCAGCCACATGAATCCTGTTAAAAGGTTAATGGGGGCAGGTCACGCCTCTGCTCAGTGCCCTCCAATGGCTCCCTCTCATTCCAGGCAAAAGCCAAAATTCTCGCCCTGGCCGGCGGAGGTTTTCCCATGCAGGGCCCTCGCTTGCGGAGGCCCCTTCCAAGGCCCCGAATCAAGCTTTTATTTGTAATTTTGATTTTTAAAGAATGGATGGCGCCCTACATTGCACGAGTTTCAGGCTCCCCCACACCTGGGTCCACCCCTCACGGCAGTCTATAAAACCCTAAGCAATATGGCCCCCGGGCCTCTCTGACCTTATTTCCCACCCCTGGCCTCTTGACTCATTCCACACTAACCACATTAGCATCCTTGCCTTCCTCCTTGAAGGCCTTGGTGCCACTTTATGTGGGAAAGGTAGAGGGGTCTCCATGTGGCAGAAGAGCCCCATCCAACCTTGTCAAGACATAGCCAGGTTCCAGCTGGTCTTGGGGACCATTTACTGGGTGTTCAGGAGCCTATGAGATGCACAAACCTGATTCTCCCTCACTCGAGGCCCTTAAGTGCCCAGGCCCAGACCTTAGCACCCCAGGACCCAACCTCACATCTGCTCACCTCAGGCAGCCTATGCGTCTCCCAGCTGCCTAAGATTCCCCCACCATTGCTCTCTTCCTTGGGAACAAGCATTACCTTCTCAGAGGTTCCCTTTAAAATGTTCTCTTCCCTGCATGTATGTACCTATACACACGCATGCATGCAGGAGCACTCAACATGCACATACCTTGTGCCTGCACACACACAGCACTCTGACCTAGCTCAGAGGCCAAGGACCCATACCCTTGAGGCAGCTCCAGGTCAGGGCAGCCTCTGTGTTATTGATAATGTTTTCTCTTTCTCTAGAAGCCACAGGTCTTGCAGTTGCCAGGATGCTAACCTCACAACGGCAGTTTCCCCATTCAATGCTGAGCTGTTATCTCTGTATCTGCTCCCTCACTTGGGTGGAGGGGGAGAGATGTCCAGGGAACATTTTCCACCTGGAATTCTGTGTGGTTCTGGGCTGGGAACTAAGTGAACGAGGTCCTGCAGGTCACCCCTTCCCTGTGGGCCTTTGGGCAAATCATTCCGTCTCTCTGCTCCTTCCCACTCTGCCTTCTCTGGGGACGGAGGGGATCGGGAAATGCAAGCAAAGGGCTTTTCAAAGTTAAGAGCATGTAAATCTGTGTCTGGAGAGCTCTGGAGGGGCACGGGGTGGGGGAGGAAGGGAGGCGCTACGAAGCAGCCACAGGAGGTGGGCTACTGTCTATGGGTCTGTCTGGGAGGCAAGTGGGGTGTCTGTGCTACTGACAAAGTCAAGGAGATGACCTCCAGCTGAGCTTGCTGATTTCTCTGGGGTAAAGTGGATGCCTCCTTGGTGTCCCCAAGGAGGTACATTTCAGCTAAGGGGAGAAGCTTGCTGAGACCTTGCCTGGGTTGGAGTGGGAGGGAGCCCCTTGTCAGTAGAAGCATGTCAGCATTTACTGGTCAGGCGCTGGGTATCTTCAGGAATAGAGTGTAGTGGAATTGGGTAGGATTTAGTCAGCAGGCTCCCCAAGCTTCCCTTCCCCTCCTTTAAGAAACCCCAACACCCCAATGGCTAGAGCCTGGCTAGAGACTGTAGTGCCTTAGCACCCCTGGACATGCTGTATCTTTCTGTCTTTGGCCCAAATACCCTTTTCCCCACATCATTCTTCTTCCTGGGTCAGGCTGTCCGCCAGGAGAAGGGAGGGCCCAGGAGAGCTGAATGGGGCAGAGGGTGGAAGGACCATCACCTTCCTTCTCCTAGGAGGCCAGGCACCTCTGAGATTTCCCTCTCCTCAAATCTCGGCTGGGGGCAGGGCCCCTGATGGAAGGGGTCCACTGAGGATCTTCCATCAGGTAAGAGCACAAAGACATCAGCTCCGGAATATGATTTCCTGGATGCTTGGTGGATGCTGAACGCACTCGAGCCTTTGTTTCCTCATCTATAAATTGGGGGTGCTGATAACAGCACCTTCCTCAGAAGGAGTGGTGAGCAGTAAATTAGATGATACCTGTAAAGTACTTGGCACAGTGCCTGGCACTTCATAATCCCTCAGTCATGTTAGCTATTCGTGTTTATCGGTCCATTCATTCACACCTAATCTGCATTCTTCCTTGGGTGAGGCACTACGGGACCCATGGCCCCAGCCCATGAGTTGGTCACAGACCATCTTGGGAAACAGGACAGTGCTTGGTAGGCTGTGTGTGTGTCGGGAGGCACAGAGGAGGTACAGGATTGATTGAGTTGTGGTCAGAAGAGGCTTTCGTGGAAGGAAGGATGTCTAACCGGAATCTTAAGCAGTGAGGCGGTATCCGATGTGGGGAACTGGGGAGAAGGAAAGGTATTCCAAGAAGAGGAACAGCATAAGCAGAGGCTCAGGGGCATAAAACAGCCTGGTGTGTACTGGGGAGGAGCAGGCTGAGAGGGAGGCCTGCAGGTTTCATGCTGGATGTCAAAGTGAGCCATGCTAAAGACAGGGGCATCATCATGGGGGGTTGCGCTTCATCATCTATATAATGGGGACGACTGTCCTCAACTCATAGGGTTGTTATGAGGACTCGAGTTCATGCCAGTACAGCACATAGCACAGGGCCTGGTGCGTGCTGAGGTTCACTCTCAGTCATTCAAGGATGCTTGCGGATGTGTATGGCAGAAGAATCTTTGATGCCAAGTGTATTGTAGGGGTGACACTGGCACTGGGAAGACCAGTCCATGGGACTGTGGTCTCCAGCTGCAGCCAGAGAACTGACCCAAATTCCAGGACTCTGTCTCAGCAGCCTGTCCCTTCTCAGCCTCCGAGCTGCCAAGGTTGAGGTGGCAGCGGCTGCTCTCCTGGGCCTGGGGGAAGGTTAGTGAGTGGAAGGATCTTCTGGCAAGAAAGCTGGCCCCAGGGGAGCAGGGATGGCAGAGGGAGAAGGCAGCTGCCATGCCAGCCGCTTTCCAGGTGGTGGGGCACCTGAGCCAATACTGATGTAGGGTCAAGGGCATCCAGAGAAGGCCATCCTCTCCCTCTCCCAGTTCTCTTCTTCCTCCAATCGCTCCCTATCCTTCTGATTCCTCTATGTCCATATCTCCTCTAACTGAAGCCACTCCTAGGGGTTAGGCACCCACGGGTGAGTTGTTATTGCTGGCTCACCAACAGCCATCTGACTCTCATCCTGAGAGCCTCCTCCCTCCCCCATAAGAAATGAAAGCAGGCGCCCAAGTGCAAACACTTGTAAGTGACATTCACCTGTAGGTGACATTCACGAATGAAGCAGGTGGCTGTGGGCAGCAGTGGCAGAATTAAAGGGGCACCGGCTTCTGCTCGGGCTGGCTGTTGCCCTATGATGGATGGGCTCAGGGTTCCCAGAGCTCCTGATTTTTTTTAAAGCAGCTGGACATCTGGACCTTTGTGTGGGTAAAAGGATCGGGAAAGGTATTATGCCACTGCCTGAGAATTGACAGGCCAAAACTGAGGACAAGGGAGTGTCCAATGGGATGTTACCTGCTAGGCCCAGACATCCAGGACTTGCTCCCCCTGCCCAGGGCTTACTCAGTCACGCAGAGATGGGGGTGCCCCCAAAGAAGTGGACTAGCTGCTGCCTCCCAGCAGGCAGCTTGCTGAACTGGAAGGCTTGCAGACCACTTGGCTATTGTTCATCCAAGATCCTTCATTCATTCTTTGAACAAGGATTTGCGTGCCAGCTCCGTGCTGGTTTTGGAGGGATAGCCCTGAAGAGATGAAAGACATAAGGAATGTATTCTCAAGAGGACTTGAAAGGTGTTTTCTGGAGCTCAGGGGCAATTGTGAAGATGGTTATGAAGTCTGTTTCTGACCTGGAGGATTTCTGATGTGGGAGGTTAAATGACTTGCCCAAGGTCACAAGGTGAGAGCTGGTAAGTAGTGGAGTCATGACTCAATATGCCATCATGCATCTTATCAAGTTTAATAACATGCAGGCCAGTCAGAGCATGTCTGTGGACGGATCTGGACAACAGGCCGCCCCTTTGAGGCCCATGGTTTAATAGGAGTTGGAAAGTTCTGTTGGGGAGGGGAAGAGGGCAGGTGGGGGAGCACTGAACTTGGCCAGGTCCATGGCCCCCTTAGAATCATGGACTCTCAAAATCACAGATTCTGAGATTTCTTGGTGAGTCGAGCCCACCCTTATTCCCATTTTATGGCTGGGGAAAGCTAAAGGGAGGCGACAGGACTTGCCCAAAGTCCCCATGGCTCAGGGCCCCTGCATATCCCTGTCTACTTCACAAGCTTCTCAATTTATGTCCTAGGAACCAAGAAGTCTACAGTCTGAAACTGTGCTCCTGTGGTTCTAATCTGGAGGGGGGAGGACATCGAGGGCCAGGTGCCCTTCTCATAGGGATGCCTGTCTGTCCAGGGAGTGGGATGTCCTGGGTTAGGGAGCAATAGACTGACCTAACCTGGTCTGAAGTCTGGCAGCTGCAAGGAAGGTGGGCGCTGACCAGGGTGCTGAACCTGTATGGTGCCTCCCTCTTAGGGCTCAGACTAGCTGAGGGGAGAGGTGGTGGAACGGAACGTGACTCCTATTTTGGTTACTCGGAAACCATACTGTTTTAGGCAGCTTTTAGTGGGAAAGCTTTGGAGCTAGGAATTCTGTGGTCCGCACAGCCTTAGAAAGGTCACTTCACTGGTTCTGGGCCCACTTTTTCATCTGTTCAATGGGGAGAGTAGCTCCTATCCTACTCTCAGGAGGCAGAGGTGAGCAACATTTGGTGACGGAGCCCTGCACTGAGCCCAAGCCCACAGAGCCCAGTGAAGCCTCTCAGGAGCTCGCCCTCACAGAGGGGCTTTGTGGGCTTGTTTCCTCCTCTTGTGCAATGGGTCCTGGGTTGGATGGCTTCAGATGCCCCGAACTTGGGGGCCCTGGGCATAGGAAAGTGGAAGTGCTCAGATACATGAGGTACACTTCACAAACAGGACTGAGTTAGAGGAGTCTTAGACCATCCCGGGGTTATGTTCCTGTCTCACCCAAGACCTGGCTTGGTTTTCCGGCTTCAGGAATGGCTTTTGCCCAAGGACCCATGATCCTCACCTGCACAGGATACAGTAGTTCTTTAAGAAGAGAATGGCTTTACAGCCAGGCTGACCCAGGTTCCCATTACAGTTCTCCCACCCCTAGAGGGCAAGTCCAGCACCTCAACCAATGCCGCTAAGTGTTATGTCAGGAGTGGCTAAGATACTAAGACTAGGAAAAGCCTAGCACACTTGAGTGCCAGACAAATGCTTGTCTCCATCACTGGAGGGCAAGCCTATGGTTCCCTTCCTCTTGTCCGTGAGCCCCCAGGCATATCTACACGCGGCCTCAGTAACAATAGCTCGTAGCCACTGAGCTCCAACTGCCTGTTTATAAGACACATTACTTGGTCAGACCCAGCAACAATCCTGAAGGTAGAGGAGATGGTCATTTTGCAGACAAGGCCACACACTAGCAAAGGCAGGGCTGGGAGTCACACCCCTGCCTACCTGATCCTGAGATTTCTGCTTGGCTTTGAGCAAATTACTAGACCTTTCCAAAGTCGTTCTCTGGTCTAGAAAATGAGGATAGTATCTCATTATGGTTATTACTTGAAGATACAATGTATGCTACTTTAGAATATATGCATATTTAAAAACATATGAAACACATGTGAGTGACTCAGGGGCAGGGGAATGGAGCGGATACAGGGGATAGAAATAGAAACACTTCAAATGTGGGGGGGTTCTTGCATGCACTGATCATAGTGTGCCGTGAACCAAGACGACTCACTCAATTTTCTGCACCTGATATCCAGATGAAGAAAAAATATGTACCAATAGTTTGTACACTAAAGTGTCTTAAACTTTAATGTGCACACAAGCCACCTGAGGAACTTGTTAAAATGCAGAAATGTGAAGTCTCAGGTCACACATTTCTCCACATTTCTAACAAGTTCCTTGCTCTTGCCAATGGTTTGAGTAGCTAGAATGTAAGAAGTCTTCCCTTCCCTTCTCAGGAGTTCTCAAATTTGCCTGATAATATGAATTGCCTGAGGAACTCATAAAAAATGGATTTAAAGGCCCTTCCCTGAGGTCTGAATTTTGGCCAGAATGTACACTGTATTTTGACCAAGTGTCACAGGAGAGAGACTGGCTCGGCTAGCCGGGGAAGCATGGAAGGTGGTACTCATTTGTTCCTTGGCCTATGGTGCAGACACAGGAGGCTGGCTCACCAGGCCTCTGTCCCAAAGTGCCTTCCCAAAAGCAGAGGTGGGAAAATTTTCCCAGGCTCTCTAGCAGCTATAGTTAGAGGTGATGTAGGTTCTATCAGATGCATTCAATCGAGCCTTGATTTTTTTAAAAAAAGATTTTATTTATTTTTAAGAGAGAAGGGAAGGGAGAGAGGGAGAAACAATGATAGGCTGCCTCTTACACATGCCTCGACTGGGAATAGAACCTGCAACCGAGCATGTGCCCTGACTGGGAATCGAACTGGCAACCCCTCACTTTGTAGGATGATGCCCAGCAGAGTCACACTGGTCAGAGCTGAGCCTTGAACTGGAACTTAGCTGAGTGGGGGTCAAGGTGGCAGTATAAAGGGCATTCACTTTCTGTTGCAGGTCTAAGCAACTACTGTGTGGTGCTGGAGTTTCCTGATCCACAGATCATGACAGTGATGTAATCTTGCATCTTCATACTCAAAGCTTTTTTGTTTAAAAAAGCTAAAATCATTTCTGTGCACTGCAGCTGAGCCCCAGGGCTAACACTGCGGCAGGACCCTCTCCCCACTCTTCCCTCTGAACCCTCATCGCACTGCCAGTCTCACACCTACCTTTTACGTTATGCAGCTCGTACGGAACATGGCTTTCCACGTGGTCACCGATCTCCTTTATGAGACCGCCTCGTTAGCCTCAGCACAGACTGTGCCTTCCCCTCGGTGCCTCCTACCCAGCCCTGCCACTACTGGGATATTCAACCTCATTAGCATTGCTGCTCTGTGCATTCTACAGTCTGTCCTTAGTCACCTGGGTTTTGTCACCCATCATTGCTTACCATCCTCACTGCCTGCCACTCCTGCCTTCTGACCCACCCTCCAGGCCAGATTCAGGGACAAGCACGGCTGGAGTCACTCAGGTGTGCCTTGTGGTATTCCAAGGACACACAAGGGCTGGGGACTTGGCTGCCTGCCTACGAATCTCTCTCATGGTGCAAAAAGTTGGCCATGGCCCATGAGCACGCACATTTTATGACAAAGCTAAGGATATGTATGTGGGGGATCTTTTCTCTCCTTGGTGGTGGGACCTGTCTTATTGGAAATGCACGAAATTGGACAAGATTATAAGGTGACAGAAGACACTAACTGCCCCACAGACTCCAATTTTCCTTCTGTGAAGAGAGGCATGGGTCAGTAATAGAATGTCATGGTGACAGTACAAAGGGAGGCCATCAGGGAAGCTGAGTTCCAACAGGTGAGGTTGTGAGGAGCTTGCCACCCACTTTCTAACTATGCGTCAATAGGCGCTGAGCAGCCAGCACGGGAATGAAAAATCTCCATTCTGAGCACAATACATTTTTGGAGTTGGGGTCTCAAGAAACTCAAGACTTCATAATGGAGGTTGACAGAAGCTCATGACTGAGTCAATAAACATAAAGAGAAACACAGCCAGCTCAAAAATGGGGAAGGAGACAAGGCAAGAAAGAGGAAGTGGGGATGCGGGGTTGCCAGAGATGGTAGTATAAGTGGTCTATGGCACTGAACCAAAGGACAGGATTTGGAACCAGACCTTTATTTTACTTCTAAGCCAATGGATAAACAAAGGAGTTTCAAACCAAGTGAAAGTGATGCCATGAACGTCACTAGACCTGGAAAGGTCACGTGAACTTCTCTGCAGACAGGACCTGTGGATATCACATCCAGCCCAGAACCTTCCCCTGAAGTTCAGAGCAACTCCTCTGTGGTGCACCAGCCACGGGCATCCCAAAGTGGCAACTCCTGAAGCCACGGTCTGCCCGCAGGGGCGGCTGGCTCCGGTCTCTGCCTTGTTTGGCCTAGGCCAGAAATCTTTTTTTAAAAAAATAGAGGACAAAACCTCAATGAGATACCACTTCACACCGACTAGGAGGGCTACACGCAAGAAGGCTAACAAGTATTAGCAAGGATGTGGAGAAACTGGAATCCTCACACCCTGCTGTTGGGAATGTAAAATGGCACAGTCACTTTGGCAAACAGTCTGGCAGTTCCTCAAAAAGTTAGACATCAAGTTAGTTACCATATGATCTAGCAATTCCATCCCTAGGTCTATACCCACAAAAATTAAAAACATATGTCTACACAAAAATCTGTTCACAAACGTTCATAGCAACAGTATTCACAGTAGCCAAAAACTGAAAACTACTCAGCCGTCCACCAACTGATGAATGGATAAAGGAAATCTGGTCGACCCATACAATGGAGTATTATTCAGCCAGAAAAAAGAATGATGTACTGGTAGACACCACAACACGGGTGACCCTTAGAAACATTAAGTGAAATAAGCCAGATGCAAAAGCCCACATATTACATGATTCCACTTATGAGAACTGTCCAGAATAAGCAAATCTTCAGAGACAAAAGTAGACTAGTGGTTGCCTGGGGCTGGGAATGGAGAGTGGCTCTTCATGGATATGCGGTTTCATTTTGGGGTGGTGAAAATGCTCAGGAATTAAGTATAGTAATGGATGTACAACACTGTGGGTATACTAAAAACCACTTAAACACACACTTTTAAAAGGGTGACCTTTATGGGTAAGTGAATTATGTCTCAAAAAAGTTATTTAGAAAAGAGGACTAGGTTATTAAGTGCTGATATTTATTAAGGCTCCAACCCTTTGGGCTCCAAAAAGCACACCCCCAAACCATTCCCACTTGCTGCTTGGTCGTTACTCGTGGCTGAAAGGAGGGCCACAGCCCGACTGCAAGCACAGGCAGCCCGACTGGAAGTGACTAAAAGCCCCCCTGCAGCAACGAAGGTATCACCTGTGCCCCGAAGGTCCTTGATGCAAGGAGACCCCCACCCCAACAAAATGGCTGATTCTGCAGATGAATCACTGAAGTTTCTGTTTTCAGAAAACACAGTTATGTATAGGATTAGCCTTTCAACCTTTGCTACTAGAAAATCTAAGGGGCAAGTTAATTGTTTCAAACGGGACATTTCTTTGAATCAGGGTCCTAACAGTTATCTACCCCTTCCCTGCCTGCCTGACGGTCTCTGGTCTGATGGTCCTTTCAATGATTCCTTTTATAGTAAAAGATGCTTTTATGAGCAAATTGCCCCAAGTCCTTTTGATAGCAGGTATGATCCTATTTCAAAACAAAAACATTCCACCCATTTGCTGGCCCTTGAGCAAGAAAACTATGGTTGACGATTGCATTTGTAGCTCTGCCTGACCTCTGGGTCTTTCTCCAGAGGACATGTTCTGAGAGATACAAAGTGGCCTTTTGCTAGGTCGGTGCTTGAGACGGGGTCCGCCAGAAATGCCGAGCGAGCCCGCTCACGCTGGCCTCCCCACCCAGGCCCAGCCTCCATCTCAGGCTCACCCTGGGCCTATATCCCAGTCTACGTTACCCCGAAACCACTCTCAGGCAAGGCAGACAGGGTATAGCGCATTAGCAGATTACCTCAGGAAGGCTCTGGTAGCTCTTCCAGATAAGTAGTATGTCCTAATTTGGGAAAAGGAAGCCAAGGAGTTAAGAAGTGAAAGGACCCAAACATGGCTGAAATGCTAGCTGTGAAGCCAAGTGGCTAGCGCTTTGATCTCTTGCCTCTGGGCCTGACGCTCTATGGTGCTCTTTCCACTGCAGCACAAGGTTCGTCACTGACCACGTCTGTCAGGGCTCGGGCTGAAAAGGATCCGGAGAACACCAAAGGTCAGGCGGGGCTGGACAGAGGGCACAGGCTTCCAGAGGTGGGGCTCCCTGGGGTGAAATGCCTTCCTAGGTTGTTTAATGCTTGGCTAGCTCTTCCATCCACCCCAGCCACTGGCTTCGAGGCTGGCCTCCAGTTCAAGACCACGCTGTGAGGGAGCCCACGCTCCCGTGCTCGCCTGGGCCCCGTGGAGCGTGAGAGGCAGAGGGAGTGACTCTGTAGGTGAGCGCCACACAAAGGCTTGACCTTTCCTTTTCCTCTTGCCCCAGCTCCCAAGGGCTCGCCATACACAGAAGCAGGTATCACAGTATTTTAGAGTAGGAAGGGCACCTCGGAATTCATAGGTGGGGCACAAAGGCCCTGGGAGGAGAAAGGACTTGGGGTCACTTAGTAAGTTAGTGTAACCATGAGATCAGCCCTCGGGTCTGTCCTGTTTATTCCTCTGTTTATAGGCTGCCATTGCCCCAGCACAGACGGACTCAGAGGACTGGGCCAGACAGACAGAACTGGAGGACTCTGCCCTTCACTGAAGGAGGCAGTCTTTCTGCAATGTGCCTGCCCATGTGAGAGCCATCCTTGTGGCCTGTGGGGTTTCCAGACACTCATTTTCATCCGCGCAGCCATACTGGGCCCCATCTTAGTGATGTCGGGAGCAAAGAGCAGTTTATGAAGGGAAGGTGGCTGAGAATTAAGAATGGACCATGGGTAGGAAAAGAGTCATGTAGCCCCACAAGGATTCAAACTCTAAAGTCTCATAATTGAAAGGATCTGTGCAGTAAAAGAAGTGAGAGACGGCAACATGACTTCTGTATTGACATTTGGTTCTTAATAATAACATCCAAAATGCGTTCTGTTCTTATAGCGCTGCATTGGGCCGAGGATATATGTTGCCGGAGTCTCCCTTGGAAAGCGGGGAGGAGCTGGTGGTGAGAGAGACACTGACTTCTCTTTGGGACCTATATGCAGCCAGGCGGAGAGCTGCAACAGGCGCCCTGGCTCTGACTGGGGGGGAGGGAGGCAATCCCAGCCAGCCTGCAAACACATGGGCAGAATCCCTTGCCCCCAGCGTGCAAGAACACGGCTGCTGATGGGGCCAGAGATGGCAGCTCCAGGAGAGTGGAGAGAAGGCTGGGATGTTACATTCTTGAGGCCTTCACAGGTACATGTCATCGAAGCCCGGCGGGGGGAGATGGTCTGGGTTAGGTCTGGAATGGAAAGAGGGGCAGGTGAGTTGGCGCGGTGGAGGGCCAGGGGCACACAGGCAGACAGGGCACTGGGCAGAGAGAGCCTGCCCTCCAGCATGACATGGTAGTCCGAGGAATTTAGGAGCACGAGCTCTAGAGCCAGACAGGCTGGGACTGAGTCCTGATTTTTCCACTTTGGGTAAGTTTCTTCATCTTTCAGGAACTCGATTTCTGTATCTACAAAAGGTGGACAGTAGTATCCACCCATGAGTGTTGATTAAGGATCCAGTGAGTTCCTGGTACATATTAAGGTTCCAGGAAATGAGTAGCTCCTCCTCCTCTGGGTCTTCCCTGAGAAGGGCTGGGGGGAAGGACGGCTCTCAGGAGTGGGGAGCTCCTGGAAGCTCCAGGGGGGGCGTCCGGCAGGGCCTGGAGGAGCCTCCACTCTTGGCAGTGGGGGATGGAGCTACTGGCAGCTCTGTGCCTGGCGTCAAGCGCCTTCGTTCCTGCAGCACGGAGCTGTCCTGTCCTGTCACCAGGTCCTATTGCTCAGCATACCTGAGTGAATACCTACCCGGGTGGGCTGGTCCCAATGGGTCCAAAGGGGTCAAAGCGCGCTCCTGGGGGCACAGCGCCTGGAGGAAGCCGGTTTGGGAGGCCTGAGGACGGGTCAATCAGTACTCTTGGAAAGCCGGATCTCAGGGGGTCCACAATCATGCCACCTCTCCGACACCTGAGGCCAGAAGGGAACATGGGTGTGCATGTGGCAGGGAGCTGCTCTTAGTCCACGCCTGATAAGCACAGGTGGCACCCTGCCACCCGAGGGAGGGTCGCTGCCCTCCACAGGGCGCAAGGGGCACAGCAAGCGAGAGGCTGCCGCCGGCCCGCTGAGCGCCCCCGCCGGACCGGCACCGCTCCAGGCCAGGCAGAGCAGGGCAAGTGGCGGCGACTCCTCAGCTGCTCGGCAACAACCTGTCTCCTTCACCCCAAAGGCAGACTGACGAAAAACTCTAAAATTAGAAGCTGAGCCGGGGCTGGAAGCCACGGGAGCAAGTTGTGTTGCTGCCACCTCCCCAGCAGTACTCACCCAAAGGGGTCTAGGTCCTCTCCTCCGACAGCAAATGGGCCCAAGGGATCACGCCTGAAACAAACAAGGGACAATTACCACATGTCCCATAGCAGATGGGCACCTGGGCTCCCAGGGGCCTGAACCTGACACCAGAGGGGTCACAAATGCACTCCCAGGCTTGCGGCGAAGGGGAAACCCCTGCATGAGACCAGAACGCAAGGGATATTTCGAAATGGTCTTTGGCACAGACTAACCATGGCTGAACATGAAGTTACAAAACATGGAGGAACCCAATTCCATGGAAAGAAAACATATTAACAGTAGTAACCTCCACATAAATTTCATTTTATTCACACCTTTCTCAAACTCCTAAACTTTGGATGATGAACCAAGATCTTTTAGATCAGAAAATAATTCTAAAACCAAAACCGAAAGCTCACATTTAAAAACTCCAAAGGCTCGTGGGAGATGGGTGCTCTCCCAGCTCGCACAGCGCCCCTCCGCCATCTCTTCATTATGGGCTCTGCATGACATTTTCATACCGCGAGTACTGCATCTCTGTTTCTGCACCGCGGCCCAGTGGGGGGCCGCAAACCATTAGAACCTTCCCCTGCCCCCCAACAATGCATGAGCTAGGAGCATAGATGGAGATTCTACATTATATAATATACACATACAAAATATATCTATCTTTCAAAAGCCTTATGCATCCTTTATAGTCTTTGATCCAACCATTTTACATTTAGGTATCAATTTTAAAGAAAAAACACATTATTCAAATTAAAATATTACCATAAAAACCTGAATCGAGAGAACTGGGTTGGCCTAATCGGGGACCAGTCAGGTACATTATGGCATATCCCTGAATGCAACCAAGGAAACAGTGTTTTTAGAATGTTTTAAAAAGATGTCGAAAAACATTCATGCTCTAGTGTTAACTGTGGGAGAAGGGGGTTATCAATTGTCTAGGAAATCAACTGTGAAAAGTGTGGGTGTGTGTGGGTAAATTAAACTAGAAAGAAGCAGACTGAAAATATAAACAGTGGGGAGTTGCTTCTATTTCCTTTTTTTTTCTATTAAGGATGTGAATATAATAAAAACGATTTAGTATTTGAAAAAGTGGGGCCTGGAACCTGCTTGGAGCCCCCGTGAGCAACCCAAACGTGACAGTTCTGGGGCACAGCAGGTTCTGGCCAGACCTCAGGAGAGCCTCGTAAACACTCCCTAATCTAAGCTTATACCTGAGAAGCCATTAAATAAAGAATCTGGGGAAAAAATCCAAAAGTAGCTGCTTCTCCAATCAGTTCTACCAAATGGGCTGGAAAAGATAATTATGACTTAGGTGGACTAGGTTCCAAGGGAAGGTTATTATGCCCAAGGCATGGCTCACAGAGCTGGCAGTCAGAGATTCCGGTGGCCTCCCAACGTCCTGCCTCGGTGGACAGACCAGGGGGTGCTAAGGGCGGCAAGGCAGGGACCGCAAGCAGCAGCAGCTGTCTCCGCAAACTACCCCCTGAGAGCAGCGCACAGAGGGGCCCCCAGTGGCTACCCAAATGCCTGGGAGACCAGAGCTTTGACGGCTGCTGAAGAAGGCAGCCATCTCTAGTCTTCTCTCCTGGGCCACCATGTGGGGAGGGAAGGAATGAAGAACAATGGGGGCTAGAAAGGCAGCTGCAAGGTCAAACCCAACACTCGAAACTGTCAGAACAGATCCTTTAGGCTCACACTCAACACATTCTCACTGTGACACATGCACATGTGACACATGTACGTGAGCTCATCGTGTACGTGTGCAGAACCCGTTTTAAAATAGCCTCTGTCTTGACTGGCAATCTAGAGATTAAAAAAAGAAGGTAATTTTTGCATACGGTCTCTAAAATAGAGCTCCTACCACTTTATCTGGTAACCAACTGAGGGACAGAGTGTTGTACATGAACCCACAGGCACAACTTCTTGGCTGGCCCACTGGACAGTATGTCCCAGCTCCAAAAGGGGCCCCTCTAAGGGATCTGAGGTGAGCCTGACCCACAGATTCCTTCTTATATACTCCCCCCAACCCCGGGTGAAGACACCACTCCTCTCTGGGACACACAACTCCAGCCGAAGCCATTCTAGTGCTGGATGTGCTCAGGTGAACTGGAATGGCCTCAGGGCTGGGATTAAGAGGTGGGCTCTAGACTCTGGGTGGGGAATTATCTAGCTGGATGGCAGGGGTCTGCAACAAAACCTCTGCATCTCAGTCTTCTGAGACGTAATCTAAGCAGCAACATTCGCAGGGGCTGCTGTAATGGTGGAACATAGCGCTGGCCCTGAACAGGCTCACTGACAGCTCAGGAAGGCCTGGGAGGGCAGAGCAACAGATGCCCCCGCTACTTACCCTGAGCTTGCTTTGTGTCAGGCACTGTGCTAAATTTAGCTTTTTAAAAGATTAAATTTTTAAATTTAATTTTCTGAATAGGTAACGCATTCACCAGTTTCAAAATTCAAGACTGATAAGGGATACACAGATCCATAATCTTAAGCTAGCTGTGTTTTGGAATTCAGCATTGTTCGTATTTTAGAAAGCTCGGGTGAATACATCTAATATGTACTGTGTAACACTCCCAAGCAGCAGGCTATACCCAATACCCTAATATTTCTGCAGAACAAATGAGTAGTCACAAGTGGGACAGATGAAAATATAAGGTGCTTCATGCCATTTTAGGTCAGGTTTTACTACCAAATAAGGTTTGGGACCAACCTTATTTTTCTGGGGGGAAAAAACACCCTGGTTTTCAGATCTCTGTTGATTTCAGAATTATAGTTAGGAGATTGTGGACTCATAAAAGTAAAACATCTTCCGCCACCAGCCTCCCAGGTCTTCAGTGTCTTGCATGTCCTTCCAAAGATACTCTGTCTATATGTATCTCCCCTGCCTTTCAGACTGATAAATGTGCCTGGCTCCTTATGCACATTATCTTATTTCACATTGGCAGCAGCCCTCTGAGTACATGAAGTTGTTAGTTTGGGAAAAACAGGTGATAGTATATGTTGCCAATGATAAGACTCAAGCTTTCAAGTGAAAATTAGCAACAAACCAACCAACCAACCAGCTTGATGGCTTCCCAATAGTTATGCTGACCAGGATCAGTAATATTAACGAATGTGATTTTTTGATATTGTATAATAAAATGGATCAATGTTTAGCAGATCTACACATCTTAGTGAATCTGTATTTTCTAAACAACTGATACATGATCTTTTAATATCATACATGGGTAAAAGATCCATTCAAAAGGCATGACAGACCACTGGGTTTTAATGTAATAATGTATAAAGAGTTCACTGATATGTATTCAGATTCCATGTTATAACTAACTTTTAAAGAAACTATCACATGCCAAGTTTTGGAGTAATGCAAAGAATATCTACAATTATTTTAAAAAGTTATTAAACTATTCCTTCTCTTTTCCAACAATCTATCTATGTTAAGGCTTTAATAAAAATAACATTATCACTTAAGACTAAATGCAGAAGCAGAATGAGAATCTAGTTGTCTTCTATGCTAAATATTAAAGCAATTTGCAACAATGTAAAATAATGTTACTCTTCTATTTTTCTGTTTTGTAAAATACGGTTATTTTCATAACATTTCTTATTTATGTTAACATATAATGGATTTACTGTATTTTTTAAATTCATGAATACATGTGTATTTAAAAATTTTTGGCTGTAATTTCTAATATGGTAAACACTGACAGATATAACTCAAACAAGAGCTCCTTGGGATCCTCAGTAATTTTTGAGAGTGCAAGAGGATTCTCAAGACCAAAAAGTTTGAGATCTGCCAGCATAGGAAATAGAGCTCAAAGAAGTAAAAATATATATATATTTATGTGTATATGTATATATATGTGTGTGTGCATATTTGTACAGGTGTTCATAGTATGCCACTTAAAATGAAAAATTGAACATGTTTGAAATTATCCCATCATACAATAAAATATCAGATACAAAAAAGCACATAGGTAGCACTTTAGTCAATGGATTATGAAATTTTACAAAGAAAATGTAGAATACATAATATTGGGAACATTCAAAAAACATGTAAAGATGCAGACTGGGATTAAAAATGAATTTTGAATGATATAAGAGCTTTGTATCTAAGGATTTATTTTGAGCAAAGCTGTTTAAGCATAGGAAAAATTGTTTTTTCACAATGGGGGACAGGATTTGGGGCAGAGTCTCCTGACTGACTGAGGACAGATGGAGCAAAGAGAAACGGGTTAGAATTATAACAACAACAAAAAAAGCTAGGCTTATATTTTTTAAAAAAAACACCAAAAAACAAAAACAATTTCTCTTACAGATGGGCTGTGTTCACTAATTCTTTCTTAGAGAGCTCAGGAATAGGACAGACCTACTTTTCACTCTCAATTCTCCATCACAATAGAATGTCCTCTCCATCTAGCGTGGCATCCAAACCAGCAGACCCAGCATCCTTTGACAAGCTCTGGACACACCTCACCGCGCACTTAGCGAAGCAACTCTCTTTATGCATTAGGGCAGACATCCCCACAAGGGTTTGCATTTGGAGGTCTCTGGGTGTGGGGTAGGCAAGGTGAGGGTGTGGAAGATGTGGGGCGAGACACAGGACTGTCCTGTGGGAAGGGGCAGAGGCTGCTGTTTCCTACTCAGAGCACCTGTCATGCTGTTCAGGGATGGGGTGATTAACACCCTGCAGGACCAGATGGGCCTGCTGCTGTGTTGCTCTTTCCCTTCTCTCGCCCTAAAGCCCCACCCCCAAATCAGGCGTTTGAGGGAAAAACAAAAAGGTAAAAGTGTAAGTGCCTGGTTGCCCAGCAACACAGTGGTTGTGGCGGTGGTGAGGGGCTATAATAAAAGAATCAATGTCATTACAGACATCTGTGCTACAGAGAAAGGGGGCTGGCAAAGAGTGGGGACGGAGGGAGAAGGGGGCTACAGAAGGAAGACCTGACGGGCTGTCAACTCCCTGGTGTCTGACAAAAAGCCTCCTAAACACCCCGCCTCCTCTTCCAACCATCTCATGCAGTTCTGCGTGCTAGTCTTGG